ATATTCAATCCCTTCAGGAACTGACTACATTCCAAAGAAGTTTCTTTTCCATGACCTTTATACCTACCCTTTCATACCGACATGATCTCTGCTATACTGTACAATTTGAAGAGCAGTTCCCCCCCCCCGTCACTATGAACACAAATCACACAGAAAAGCTTCCTTATGATCTCAATCCAAAAGCAAGTAACATGTCTCTACAAAACAAGGAGAATGACCCCAGTCAAAAAAAATCTTTACGTTCCTTTATTGGAGCAAGATTCCTGACCAGTATACAGTGATGTATTACTAAACAAGACCTGTGCAGAAATTACATACTATCCATCTAGACAGGTTTTCATTACGCTTTGCCTATTGATGGAATAGTTCCATTTATAAAGTTTTATACATCAAAAAGCTTTGAATTTTGACCAGGCTGTCCATTAATTCATCTCTGAAAAAGTTAAGTGGCATTTAATTTTAGCTACTATAATTTACAGCATTAAAAAGTTTATGCATTAGGCAGCTTCCCAAAATGGTATCCTATGCACAATGGCATTTAGCAGAGCAGGGCCCGGCATCTCACCCGGATTCACACAGACAGGCCTCGCTGGAGAGCTATATGCTAAATAGCTAGTACTTTGAGACAAAAGTACTCCTGAGTTTCTTACCACCAATACGGACTTCTTACTCTGAGAGTCTGTCTTCTCGGCCAAATTTCATAGTACCAACGAAGACATGCCAGTAACTGCCTTGTGTGTAACTTGGCATTAGAGCACCAGGTCTGTCTGATGGTGGTGGCAGGCACTATTATTATATCCAGGTAAATAAAGGCCCATTTTTAAAAATGCCAATTTGAGACACAAATCAAGGGCACAACATAATCAGAACTGAGTTTTGAGCAATCTGGTATCCCGACTGATGTGAAGATTTCAGAAACTGACAGCAAATTGTACCCACAATGGCTCCTGGCTTTGGAGACATTACTACATTGATTCAGATCCCTTTCTCAGTCCACACAGCCCTGAGGTCACCCTGCAAAGTGCGTATCAAAAAATACGGAGTCAGGGTGACAAAGTTTGACAATATGTTATACAAGTCAAACTTGGAAAATCATATTAAATACACCTGTTCTGAGAGAAAAGCATCAAATCCTTTGTGTACACATTTAGTTTTATTGTAACAAAGCAACTTGTACACTTTTAACGTTTAAAACTGAGCATCATCTTTCCTTTCCAGTGAAACAAAAAGAAAATTTAAAAATAAACAGGAATAAAAATTACAATAGAGAATGTCAATTCCAAATAAGATCCTACAGGTTCTGCTGATTCTCCCATCGAGTGGCAGGGCTCAAGTCATCATTAGGAGAGTTTTATTTTAAAAGTGTCATCTTAAACTGCAAGGATGTCCGTTAAACATCACAATTAAACATGCCAAAGGAGAAGCCATGTTGTCAAAATGCCCACTTAACCCACCCAAACATCTCAAACCCACCCTTTGCTGTCCTTCTATAACCCCATTTTTTTAAGTTTTTTTTTCTTTTTTTTAAACAAGAGAAAGTAGACAGGTACATGTTGGTAAATGCTAACTGTCCATATTCACATAGAGACACAGTGTAATCTCTGATCCCAATATACAGAGAAAGGAGGGAAAAAGCTAGAATTCTATGCACTACTACACAGGGGCCTAGCACCCTCCAGCTTCCAGCAGAGCTAAGGGAGCAGAAGGTTTTTCTTTTTTCCCACAGAGCACGGTGGTGTTGATTCC